ATCTGCAGTCCAGTGCCGTAGGCAGGTTGAGTTAATCATTAGCTATATCAACAGTTCAAATCCAAGCTTAGCCACTATCTTGCACAAGTCTTCACTTCGGGACAAATGGCTCCACAAATTTGAAAAAGAAAAGCAGCCAGGAACTGTAAAATCTTACCTTGGTTCATTACTTCAGTTTTATGCATTTTTGAAATGTGAGAATGTTGAAGTGGGGGTGTCATCGGAAAAGTTAGCAGGCCTGTCACAACAAGTCAAGCTTTGGGCCTGTTCTATCAGAAAGAAGAGCATGGATCATTTCTGGGAGAAACGGATGGATGATATATCAACCATGAGAACCCCTCAGCAGGTCAAAGAGTTCAACACTTCTGAGGTTGCAAGGGAAGCCGTACGGCTGCTAGGTGTATATCAAGTTACAGAAGACGAGCCAAGACCAACCCAGCCAGAGTATACATCTGTGAGGGACTATCTTTTGACTGTACTTTGCATTAACAATGGCAGCAGGTCGGGACCCCTTGCAAATATGACTCTTCTAGAGTTTGAAAAAGCAACGAAAGACGATGGGTGCTTCATTGTGAGAGTGAAGGACCACAAGACCTTCACCACACACAGTCCTGTTAATGTCATATTCACAGCAACTCTGTACAGGTACACTCAAATTTTTATTGAGAAGTTTAAAAATCAGTTAGACGGTGTGAGCATGAATCTCGAGTATGTTAATGCCTGGGCCTTCCCGCAGGCCTTCCTGCGGTTTATAAAAATTACCCGCACGTGAGACACGCGAGACTTTTTAGATGTGCGAGGATTACATACCTAAAATGTATTGACCATTGCTGTTTACCATTTTGTGCTGGAAAGAATTGATCTCAAGATTTTTCTCACAAAATATTTTATGGATACAATTTTTCTACCAATTGGCTACCAAAAGACTCTAGGTCTTGACAACCTGCTGACTAAAGAGTCGAAATCTTGACAACATAAGCTTCAACAATTCCCAGTGTAAAATGAAGCTTAATTTAACATTTATAGGTGCTTATTATTATTATATTGTGCTTATTATTATATTCTACATACAGTGAAATAGTTTCCACTGGCTACCAAAAGACTCTAGGTCATGACAACCTGCTGACTAAAGACTCAAAGTCTTGACAACATAAGCTTCAACAATTCACAGTATAGAATAAAGTTTAGTTTAACATTTATAGGTGCTTATTATTATATTTTACATACCGTAAAATATAATATAAGCTTCAACAATGCAGAATATAAAATTAACCAGACACAGTACTAAAATGCGGTGCCCGCAATGCTTGCCTAGAAATAAAACGTCCGCTCATTTCTAACGACATCACCAACTTACATTCTCCTGTCGGCCGCAGCCTGGTTGGTTGGACATTAAGGTCAAAATTGCGCCGTTTTAAAATCTTCAGAAATAAAATATTTAGGCTAAAAATATTATCTAAAAATACTATCAAAATGAAGAGAAACGTGAGACGAATAAACTGGTGTAGAGACGGAAACTAGAAAAGCAACGATACAGAAGTCAAGGATTAAGCGTACTGCATTTTTAGTTTGTTTAATAATTTTGAGCGATTTGTCATAAAGTTAGCTTATTGAAACTAGACTTTAAAACCTTCGAAATAGAATATATTTGGCTCAAAGTACTATAAAATAAATCGTAATGTAAGACCGATCCACTTATTTAAGGAGGAAAATTAAAAGAGAAAACCAACGATATGAAAGATATCAAAGACCAAACTTACTATTACTAGTAAAGTATAGCATAGTACGGAAGCCCAGACGCGACAACGATTTATTATTTTTGATTTTTGCATTTTCGAACTTTTATTTTACATTTTCGAACTTTTATTTTACATTTTTGATTTTTCATTTTACATTTTCGATCTTTTGTTTTACATTTTTATATTATCAAACTTTTATTTTGCATTTTTACATTTTCAAACTTTTATTTTGCATTTTCACATTTTCAAACTTTTATTTTGCATTTTTACATTTTCAAACTTTTATTTTGCATTTTTACATTTTCAAACTTTTATTTTGCATTTTTACATTTTCAAACTTTTATTTTCCATTTTCACATTTTCAAACTTTTATTTTGCATTTTTACATTTTCAAACTTTTATTTTGCATTTTTACATTTTCAAACTTTTATTTTGCATTTTCACATTTTCAAATATTAACAAAGCGCACACTGCCCGCAGTCAACAAAGAACCGCAGCAAAATGGATGTTGCAGGAAATTGAGAGGCGGATGTAAACGCCATGGAGCAATGTGCAAAACCTATAAAAGAAAAAGTGCGTCATCGCACAATTGTACTTGCGGGTGCCCTGCATTCGAACACGTAAGTCAAAGATGTGACTATTATTGCAACTTGTAAGCATGCATGTATACATAATTTTGCGTTGTGAGTCCAAGCGACCGTAGAACACTATGGTCGATTGTTTCGAATAAATTAACGAAATATAATAAAATCATGGCTTGTTATTACAGCATATGAGAAGTGCATAATAGAATTCTTATCGATGATGTTACTGTATAGGAACATTTTGGGCATAGAATATCCCATAAAATAGGAACATATTGGCTTGGATGTTATCGTTATCCGCCTCCTTCGGTCTGTGGTGACCATGGGTTGAAAATCCTAGTTGTCTGTCCTGCTGGAACAGCGCCGCCTGTGGCTGAACAGGCCGATGCGCGAATGGCAGTCTCTGTCACACTTGTGGATTGTCTCTGTGCTGTGAGAGTGGTCACGTTCTTTTCTGGAGCAGGAGCTGCCAGAACGAGGTTGAAACTAACGACGAACTGCCTTAGGGGCTCCGACTCCGGATTTTTCCTCAGGGTTGACTCCCGAAGCCTTTCCAGTGAACGGGTATGCCGCAAGGCAGCGGAGGTTTGAAATCAGGGTTTTCCTTCCCCTAGGTGGACTGCCTTCCCAGGCTGTCGAGCCCCACCTGCCCGAAGCAATCTGGTTTTAAGGCGCCAGAGACCCGCCTGCACCCCTTCTCCTATCAGTAGAAGCAGTCCCGCGACAAGCACGCCAGGAACGCCAGGAGCTGGACTTAGTTGTCAGAGGCTATTTGAGCACGCACGCCATATGGGAGCATTTTATAGGTAGTGGGAGCTTATCCCCAATACCACCCCCGGCTATGACAACCTTGGAACCTGCTATTGTTTATCAGTGGCTATTGTTTGTAGGCTATCATGTAGGCTATTGTTTATCAGTTTCTTTATAATTTGCAGTAGAGAATGTGGCAATTGGGAATTTACATTTTAAACTAAATTTAGTAGAATTAACTAATTAAAAGGATCGTGTCATAGGAACTGGAAATAGCAAATTCTGTATAAGTTATCGACACATCCTTGTTGTTGAAATTTCCATGATTATAAATTTGTGTGAACTATTTTTAGAAATGCCGTAAACCATTTCGCGCAATTTCGCAGAGCTATATTTTCCACACCGACAGGCATTTTTAAAAATAGTTCACACAAATTTATAATCATGGAAATTTCAACAACAAGGATGTGTCGATAACTTATACAGAATTTGCTATTTCCAGTTCCTATGAGGCGATACTTTTAATTAGTTAATTCTACTAAATTTAATTCAAAATGTAAATTCCCAATTGCCACATTCTCTACTGCAAATTATAAAGAAACTGATAAACAATAGCCTATATCCAAGCCAATGTTCCTATTTTATGGGATATTCTATGCCCAAAATGTTCCTATACAGTAACACAATCGATAAGAATTCTATTATGCACTTCTCATATGCTATAATAACAAGCTATGATTTTATTATATTTCGTTAATTTATTCGAAACAATCGACCATAGTGTTCTACGGTCGCTTGGACTGACAACGCAAAATTATGTATACATGCATGCTTACGAGTTGCAATAGTTACATATTTGACTTACGTGTTCGAATGCAGGGCACCCGCAAGTACAATTGTGCGATGACGCACTTTTTCTTTTATAGGTTTTGCACATTGCTCCATGGCGTTTACATCTGCCTCTCAAATTTCCTGCAACATCCATTTTGCTGCGGTTCTTTGTTGACTGCGGGCAGTATGCGCTTTGTTAATGCTTGAAAATGTGAAAATGCAAAATAAAAGTTTGAAAATGTAAAAATGCAAAATAAAAGTTTGAAAATGTAAAAATGCAAAATAAAAGTTTGAAAATGTGAAAATGCAAAATAAAAGTTTGAAAATGTAAAAATGCAAAATAAAAGTTTGAAAATGTGAAAATACAAAAATAAAAGTTTGAAAATGTGAAAATGTAAAAATGCAAAATAAAAGTTTGAAAATGTGAAAATGTAAAACAAAAGATCGAAAATGTAAAATGAAAAATCAAAAATGTAAAATAAAAGTTCGAAAATGTAAAATAAAAGTTCGAAAATGCAAAAATCAAAAATAATAAATCGCTGTCGCGTCTGGGCTTCCGTAGCATAATAATTTTGAGCGATTTGTCAACAATTCAATTTCGTTTGTCTTTCAAACATCATAAAACGCTGCGAATACTCTTGTTTACTAATATATTTAAGACCTGTAAGTATAATTTCTTACGCTGAATCGAATGGTGGTATTTTTGTCCTTCTTGGGTGCATAAAAGCAGAGATACACGCAATTATCAGAGTTTGAGATTGAAATTGAAAAAAGAACGTTCCTTTAAAAAACGAATTTGGCAAACGTACAACAAGATTAATAGTAATAATAGGAAAAAATTCCAAGCATTCCAAGCATGTGCAAGGAATTTTTACCAGGCGATTAAGGAAACGTATTGATGCGAACAAACAAACTCACAGGCAGAATATAATGCGGTGCCAAACTTGGCGCGGGCACCGCAATTTCAATCTATCATTTAGATACTTTAGATCTCTTATCAGACTTAAATTCTTGTTAGCACAACTTGAGCAATTTACAGCATGATTGTTGATTATAACCTTCTTTCTACTTTGATTATTAGGTTACATTACAATCCTTACTGCAAGTTCTCCCTCAAGACCTTTAACAAATCTGGTACAGATGGCCTCATTGCTGTCTTGCTATTTTTACAATGCTTCCCCAAGGATTCCAGGCACGCACTTGGTAGTTTTTTTCCAACACTATGTATGATTACCCCAAGGGAAAAAACATCACTTGATGTACTAACTGGGAAACCTCGCAAGACCTCTGTGGCAATATGGTTGTAAAAAGAGCTGTATTTTCGAGCTTTTTGTCTAGAAAGAGGGCAAGCTTTGCCAAAGTCTATCAAAAACCCCTTCTTTCCTGAGACAAGAACATTGTTAGACTTGACATCACAGTGCAAAAAACCTTTAGTATGGACATGAAAGAGAGCTTCAGTGATGTCAAGTAAAACTGAAATCCATTCATTGTGAGAGAGAAACATATTTTTTGTCAGGGTTTGGTGTAACAGCTTGTGAACTGTAACAGACTCCATACCCTCACCAAGATACTCCATAATTAAAGAAAATGGCTTTTCTTCTATTTGGACACCCAATAAATGTGGGATAGATGAATGAGTCAGTGCATTCATACACTGTGCTTCATTTAGAACTGCTCTCAAATCAGATGTGGGCAGCTTCTTCTCGATAACCATTATCCCAAATCTCTTCATTTGTTTTACCACACACTCTCCATAAGTTCCAGTTCCAACAGGAATAGGACTAGAGTTACCTTTTTCCACAGGTGACAACTCACTGGGGCTTATTTGTTTGACAGAAGCAGAAATATTTTTGGATAATAAAGCATTACCACTTACTGCTGTATCTAATGAAACCTATAATCATATCAGAATATACATATTTACTCTATTTGAAATTTTATGCACAATTCATGGGCTTTAGTCAGTTTATTAAAAGGAATACATGGTAGAAAACTAGAAATATCTTAACAAAATATACAGTACCTTTCTTGTGTGGACAGTGTGGTGTACTTGTACCTTTCTTCTCAAGTCTTTGGAAGTCATATTAGAATATACATATTTACTCTATTTGAAATTTTATGCACAATTCATGGGCTTTAGTCAGTTTATTAAAAGGAATACATGGTTGAAAACTAGAAATATCTTAACAAAATATACAGTACCTTTCTTGTGTGGACAGTGTGGTGTACTTGTACCTTTCTTCTCAAGTCTTTGGCCTCTTTAGAAATAATTTTCCATTTAGAATAATATTTCTCAGCTAATTCTTTTTGTACTTTTACGCTGTCCTTTATCTTCTGCGCAACAACCTCCTCAGCCGCCAGACGTTTGGTGAAGGCCCGTTCTTGTCTCCTGCGCTTCTTGCGGCAATTTCGCATAGCCCTCTTCTTTAATAATTGGCTGATTTCCTTGTTGGATTCCATATTTCGCCCAGTGACTTAAACAACCAAATAAAATTTAAATTTGTTACGATGTATTATAGAAACCGAACGGGGTATTCAATATCAAAATTGATTTTAGCGCCAAATTTCTCGATTTTGCGCGTTTTCGTCAGGAGACTGGTAACATTGCATCACTAGGCAACTTGTAATCTGCATTGTTCGTTCGGCTGTTTCTTAGCAACTGTGTGTACTGTAAAAATTTGCCCTCTAATTATTCGCCAATCAGGTCACGGTGCTCTGAAGGTATTTTTACAGGATTTTAAACGATTCTCGGCTTTTAACGAACACAAATATGAAAAGAGATTCTCAACGGCTGTGTTGTGAAAATATTGACGAACTATTGAAAGGCAATAGCAAAAGACCAAAGTCAACAACAATATTGACTATGATTGTGGTAAGCAGTGTTGTAGTATATATAATTTTATAGGGAATTATAGCGGTATTATATATCAGATTCCGTTTATAATTCTTTTAAATATTTTGTGTAATTTCTTTTCATTTGTTCTCTAGTTTCCACTGATCGGCGAGTGCTTTGCAGTATTTAAGTTTGTCCATAAGTAGTTTTGATGTTGCGTCTTCTAGCAGGTTTACTGATGTTAGCAATTGCCCAGTTCGATTAAAGTGTTGCTTCTCTCGTTGTCTAAGCTGCTGTTTGATTGCAGACTGTTCCTGTGATACCTTGGTTTCCATGACTGGTAAGACATTTAAGTATTGTTTTATTAGATAGCTATTGTTTGGCGAAGTCCTCAGGCTCTTCCTCGCCTTGTCAAACTGTAATACCTTCTCAGTTAGTCCTAACGCTAGTTTTCTTCCTTGTTTAGTTTTCAACTGTGTCAATTGTGTTCCTAAAATAGACAAGTAGAATTATGCTATAAATAAACCAGACCAATATATGCTCATGCACGCATTGCCCTCAGAGGGTCTTAAGGCTCTTTTCCACTCATCGCAAAACCCACTCGTAAGCTCGCTGCGAGTGCCTGCGAGTAATTCGCAGCGAGGTACTATGATTTGCAGCAAAGTTAAATAATCTGAACAATATTTTCTGCTTGCGCAAACAAAAGTTCTATTAGCCAATAAAATTCGTTTAAAATGTCATGTGACTGACAGTGAGAGCAAAATGGCTGCGATTGAGGAAGAAAACATGGAAAATGATGTCAATGTTTCTATCGTTTGGACAAATACCAAGATTGAAATGCTAATAGAAAATGTTAAAAAATACAAAGTTCTCTTCGATGTCACATATAAAGAGTACAAGAACAAAAGTATAAAAGAGAATGCATGGAAGAAAGTCGCTGATGAACTGGAATTTCCAGGTTAGTTGAAGATTTCTAGCTTTTTTTTGTTTGTGTTCGCCATAATAAAAGTATTAGTTGCTTCCTTTCTGTTTAATATTTTACGCAGTGCTTGTTTATTTATCCCAATCGTATCTCAACTCAAGTTTGGAAGTTTTGAAAAGTAAACAACATAGGCGTTTGTTTTGTAAGAAATTAAAATGGCCTTTTAGTAATTCTACCATTACATTTATACAGTTCACATTTTTCAAACTAAATGGAAAGGACTTCGTGACACATTTACAGAAAATGTTCGACGTGAAAAACTTCCATCTGGATCAGGAAGAAAGAAAGTGATAAGATGGAGGTGGTTCGAGCATATGCAGTTTGTAAGAGATTGCATTTCACACAGAACAAGTTCCAGTAACATTGGTTTTGTGCCAACATACAGTGAAAATGAAGGAAAAGCTTGTCCAGAGAAAGGTGAATGCAGTGAAATTGAATTACCATTGCAAAGCAGTAGCACATTGCCATTGGAAGTTTCTTCTCCTGAAGTGTCAACCAACAACAAAACTAGTACAGAGAAGCTAGATTTAAAAAGAATGCCATCAAGTGTGCATAATTCTCCGATAAAGAAGAAAAAAAATGTTGACCAGGAAGTTGATATAGCACTCTTGAAATTGTTAAAGGAAGATAAAAGTTCCAATGTTGGCCAAAGCGAAACAGATGCCGAGGCTTCCTTTGGAAACTCAATTGCCCACACACTGAGAAGCTTTGATAATTATCAGAAAGCTTTAGCAAAGATGAAAATCACAGAAGTATTGTTTCAAGTTGAGTGTGGGTTGCCACTCACAGAAAATTAATCTTGGCTACCAAACAGTCTTTTCAAATTTGTTGAGGTTATACTTCTAACATTTTGTTGTGTGAACCTGTTTGTTCTGAATTATTTATATAATAAATTGATATATAATTTATATAATTGATATACATATATTTGTTAATGTACATATATACATATATTTAATACAGTTGGAAAAAAATGTTGAAATATGTTATAAATTCATACAATTATTGTATTTTGCAATTGGTTATTAATTGTTAATAAATATTATCCTCCAAACTAATTACAAATTCATTGAATGATTTATAGGAGTACTATTATGTCTATTAATGCAAAAATCATACAAATGATTACAAAAAAGCTGATCACACAGTAGGAGGTTGCATTATTTAATCATGAGTGTGATTTTGTATTAATAGCATGACTATATACTGTAAATTCATTCTATTCCTTTTTAATTGTACACTCTTCTGTATAAACTACTAAATACAAAATTTGAATTTGAAATTGCAGTATTTGCCCCTTTTGTTTGATATATAATTATTTCAAAAATTTCACACAACCATTTTTCTGTATGGCTTATTTAACACAACCAATAAAACTATGCAGAATTGGATTAATTTGCATCATTACCATCTGCACGAACATGTTGCAGCTGCCATGAAACCTGTCCTGTTGCTGAACAAAAGTATTTCATTAGTTCTTCTCGTACTTGTGCAGCATCTCTAGTAAAAAAATTGCTTCCCTGCCTGCTCAGGGACTGAAGTGTAGTCTCACCAGTAGGTAAATGGGTTTTGTCTCCAAATAATTTGATAAAAACACAGTTGTTAGTCCTTGTGTCTATTCGAGAAACATATAACATTAAGGCACTATAATTGCTATGACATTCCTCGCAGAGAGCAAATAGTATATATAAATGCTGATTTTGTGTGCTGTTGTGTATCATTATTATAAATATGCTGTTACTAATGCTGTATGTCGATTATAGAGTATAGAAATTGCTATGAGAAGTCAACAGATTCTGCTGTGTTTTGTTTTGCTCTTGTCCACCATATTGTGAAACGCGACTATTACCATGGAAATAACATATTTCCGTGCTTAGCCGCTGTATCTATCACAGAATCGCGCCGGCGTGCTTTCGTAATGGCGATGAATATTTCTTATAATCACGCAAAATACACATTCGACTTGCAGCAGGGTAATTGTAAGGTTTTTTTATTGTTTTATTGCTTTATACTATAAACAAGGGAACATAATTTCTTGAATGAATTCTGAAATAGTACATTTTGAGAAGAATACCAAAAAATGAGACGATTGAATGTCGCATTTTGCGTACCATCATCATTTAGTCTCACAAAATAATCAAACGAGATCTCAATGTCAAGTTTCCGAATACAATCTATTAACTTTAGTATGAGATGAAACTAAATGTAGCAATTCGGCAAAATTTAAGACAACTATTATACTGCTGCAGACCCCCTGAATAAAAGGTACCATTTTGTGTGTTGTTTCGCCTTATATATGTCATGTGATTGTCGCCATGAGAACAACATGTCGCCCACATTCTAGGAACTGTCGTAACAAATAATTTGATACCCGAACGACAATTTTTTAATGATTAGCCGATTTTTAACAAATTTTCCCGTTTTCTTTCATATTCAAAATGTGACCCAGGCATTAACATACTCGAGATAGAGATTCGACTGTTTTTCTTACTGTGACCACGAAAAAGTTGAATACTTCGCAAGTTGGATCGCAGATAGGATCTTGTTGGGGTAAGGTGTTTGGAAGGGAAACATCATCGGGTGGAGCTACAGCATTCCGGAAGGCTGCAGTATCCGCAGTGCACGAGTGTAACGAGGACATGCGCGGTGACTTGGCTAATCTCATGGTGCACAAACAATCGACAGCAGACCGGTAATATTTGCTGCAAAACAAAGGAAAGTCTGCAGTAAAGACATCAAACGAACTAATGAAAATAATGCGCCAAGGAACAGAAAAAGGGAGTAGTAATAACGCAACAGAAGACGTCAAACCAACTGAGATAAATGAAAAATCCAATGAGCACAGTTCAAATTCGTCCAGAAGACACAAGTGGACATCTGCTCAGAAGGCTGAATTGGAATCCGTTTTCTCTTCCCATAATATTGATAAGCAGTCAGTTACAATGGAGGAAGTAAGAAAAAACGTAAGGAACGTCCCTCTGTTACAAGATATATGCCCAAAAAAAATACTTGACAAAGTAAGCTCTAATTTTGGAAAAAACGATCGGGAGAGTGATGAGTCACCGTCGTTGCCAGCTGAGCAGGAATCATTTGAAGAACGTTTGAAACGTGCAGGTCTGGAGAAAACAAAAATCAACCATGGTAAGTTAATAAGGGACTGGTCGTCATTTAGCAGGGGTAGGAGGTATAAACAGTGGGTAAGACTAGAATAAATTGAACATATTTTTATATCTGTTCCTTTATAATATCAGCCATATCAATCATAAGCCCTGTTTAAGACCTCTTTGAAGGTGAAAGATTTCTCACATTTTTTGTGTATAATATGGGCGACAACATTGCCATCTAAATATGAACAATACTATCGCCGAAAAGTTACGAAAAATTCCATTTTGTAGCTTGGTGTAATACTTCGTTTAAGGTGGCGTGATTTTTCATTGTAAGAGCAAGGCAGGGTTGGAAAATTTCATTCCTAAAAAGTTTGAATTACACCCCAACCCCCCTAGTGCTAAATAATGACCAGTCTCTGCAGTAAGTCCTGATATGTTCACCACCCTAACGGCCAAATTGAATCCAGACATAGTTGGCAACTTGGCGTCAGTGATACACGTGTAGTTTGGTAATGTCATTTATGATTATAAAATAACATGTATATAACGCATGTTCTGATTGGTTGAAGCCCGTGTTTGGATCAGGCCATCCAAGCACGGAAATTTCGCGGGAATTTAAAAACAAATTTATTAAGGTTTGTTATTTTATAAAACAATTACTTAATGGTTTCCGTGTTTGGATGATCTGATCCAAACACTTGGGAATGTTGCTCGAGTTAAGAAAAGCTCGCAAAACACTCGCCTTCTGCTCGTGTTTTGCGCGCTTTTCTTAACTCAAGCAACATTCCTGCGTGTTTGGATCAGGCCATCCAAAAACGGAAACCATTAAGTAATTGTATAATACTGCATGGTACATAATGTCACCTTATTAATAATTACACGGTATGCTTTAATGTAGATTTGTCATCTTCCTACGATATTACGTCACAAGATGAATTGATTGGGGAGGAAAGAGGTAAAGATTATTTATTGATATCTATATACTGATTTAATATTTAGAGGTCTAATTTGACTTGAAATAATTGCGGTCATGATGCATGAAACGCCTTGTATATGTGGCTATGTATGTGATTGCATGCTTGTTACTGCTCCTAAACAATACTTGTAAATTGCGTTATTTCGTGGATCTCAAGATTTAGGGGATGCTAAAGCAGTAATTTCGCGACATTTGCAACACGCTAAAACATTAAATTTGCCATTTTTAGTAAAAAAAAAACATGTTATTACCATGCTGTATAGAGAATATTTATTCATCAAATATTTTTCTATACTATCATTTCGATTATTGTTGTAAAGTAACTTTTTTATCTTACTGAGCTTTTTGACTTACGTCGCTTGATTGTTCAGGAACAATTAAACATTCATACTCTTCACATACGATCTGCGAATTGTTTCACAACTGAAACTCTTATTGCTGTCAAATCTTGTTCTCATAGAGCAAGACAAGTGTACTTGCTTTTGCCGCTAGTACAACAATTCAAAATTCTGCAAGCAGTGCAATTTTAGTCAGACTATACGACATAAGTCGAGAAAATCGTCCTTCAATTTCTTAAGGCGGACGCTTAACGTTGAAGTTCCGTCGCATCGAATGCAATTCAAACATAGATAATTAAGTAAATCAACTTATTATGTATTTTTCTGATTGCATTCAATGCAACGGAACTTCGACGTTCGGAAAGGGTGCGTCTTATAACTCTTTTAACAAATTTGGCAGGGTAACCATTGTGCACAAATAATTGTTTTATTTGCTCTAATGATTGTTTTTGGGTAACACAATCGGTAGAACATCTGACTGCTCTCTTTATTTTGCCTATAAGAGCTGCTCGTTTGGATGCCACCGAACCATGACTGTCCCAGGGTGTAATACATTTGCTATGGGTGAGTTTAATATAGAGCGCTGTGGTGAATATTTTATCTTGGGGGTTAAACGTAAGTAAGGTGTCTAAAAAGGGCAATTGATTGTCTCTGGGTAGCTCAAGGGTAAATTTGATAGCGTCGTTTAAGCTATTAGCTATTTCGTGAAGTCGATTGGCTGTGAATTCTTTGGATAACAGGAAAACAAAATAATCATTCATGTAGCGTTTAAGAGTTACGCATCCATTAGATTTTGCCAGAATTTGATTGTCTATTACGTTCATGTAAATTGTAGCCAATACAGGAGCGAGATTATTTCCCATTGCTAAACCTGATCGCTGTTTATAAGCTTTGTTACCAATTAGTACATTATCGCTGGTAATACAAAGTCTAGTAAGCTGTTTAAAATCCTGGCTACTCAAGTCACTAAGTTCACAATCAGATTTGTGTCTTGAGAAAAAACGTGCAGCAACTGCAAAGACGCTGGGGGTGTCGTTCATATCTTCAAGTGGGACTGATCCATTTAGGTTGCAAACGTTAAGACTACAAAATCCATGTACTGAGTTTAAGTCTGTATTAGATATAAACTCAATGAAGTCTTCAGCGTTTTTTAAATGGGCAGAGGTATGTTTAATGAATGGTTGTAACACTTTTGCTAGATATTTCGACAGAGACGTGGCTGGTGTGTCAGTAGCTGCGTGTATAGGCCTACCTTTTAAATCCCTGCCTTTATGGTCCTTAGATAGACAATAGGCCGAGCAAGGAAGTGGTTCACTACAAATGGTGGATTTCAGATATTTATATAATTTAGGGTTACTAAATTGATATTTGTTAGC